CTACGCTACTCAGTCCCTCGGTTCATGGCAGTGCTCCACCGGCGACGGCTCATGAAACGGACGGAGAAGATGGGGAGGACCAACCCAATGCGTCCTCTCCTATGGACACCGGTCGTGGGGGTATCAGCACCCCCACGACGGGTCCATGATAAACAAAAGATCGCCTGCTGCTCGGTTGCGGCGGAACAGGGGCAACGGAGTCGCGAACTAGCTTTGGGGTAGCCTCCGGAAAGAACCCTCGCGCAGGAGAGCGAGGGTCAATGGGAGCGGATTTCCTTTCAGTTGATGGATCCAGATCGCGCTCGCGTTTTTGGCCCTTGGCTGCTGAGCGACGCTCAGATAATTCAGTTACCACCGTTGTCGTTTCAAGGTCGGTCCACAGGTGCCCGAGGAGTTCAACCGCGATGGCCCATATTCTGGCCAGAGGGCGTAGGTCCAATAGTAAACGGGGCTCAACCTCCGAAGTAAAATCCCAATACAAATTAAAAAACGTAGTCTCCTCCAAAGGCTCATCCAAAGGAAAAATCACCAAAGGGTCCTGGACCGCCAGACCGAGAGTTAATCCTCGAACATATACGACTAGCTCCCGATCGTTTCCAATAAATTCGTCCTTGATGTCTCGGTCGAGAGCCGCTCGAATGCGATGCTCGACCAAGTTCCAATTCCCATCACAAGTCTGTAGCAATTTTTCGGCAGCCGCCTCCCAGGATTCAGTCGCCGGAGGATGCACGAAATTTTCAGAATACCCTTCGCACCAAGGCCAGTGGAAATCAGGCTCGTTCTCCCATGCCAAGAACAGCTCGTTTCCAAAGACCACTTCTTTTTTATTGTTGCATGGACCACGAGCACGGTGGATTGTGCATAAATAGGCAAGGGTTTGCAGGTTCCACTGAGACAAATCGATGTTCTGGACAATGCGATCGTACTTCAGTGGATTCTCGACCTCCTCCATCTCGGTGTCGCTGTTGATGTTGACGATTGGAGGGTCCAAATCGTCGGATTCCCTTTTTCGATCGAATTTTGGCGGTTTCGACTCGGCTTTTTTGCAAAAAACTGATGCGACCCTGAGTAAGAGCAGTAGAATTAACAGGTTAAGTAGCGACTGCCACTTTCTTGTTGTTCTTGGACTTTCCCATTGTCAGTTTTGATGCAAAAAGGAGGAGCGAATTTTTTTTCGCTACAGAAAAATCGTGTAGGCAAAGTACCGAAAGTGATGTTTATAGGACCCGGATATGCGTGTTGTTTTTGTATTTTTGCTTTTTCGGAATATGTACACAACATTGATATCCCACTTGTATTGGGTCACTCCCATTTCATGTGGATATAGATTGTCCGGCAGACTTGAGTCGCATCCTGACATCACGATCAAAATCCAATCGTGCGTGTCAAAACTGTGTACTTGAATAGTTTTTCTTCAAACGTAAAAACCTCATATTTCGTCATATCTATGAATCAGATGACAACGATTCGGGTGATGAAGGCAATGAAGAGGAAGAACCTATTGTGGCCGATTTGGATCACCATCAAGAAAATGTCGATAGAGGAACCGATGATATCGGGAGCCTCGTTACTGATCTGGAGGATCTACAAGAACCGCCAGAAGAAGAGATTGTATTTGAGCCTGAAACGCCTCAAGTAGCAAAAGTCACTCGATCTGGGCAAACGTATGCGCAAGCTACAATGT